AAAAGAAAAAAAAGGTCACAGATACTATACTTTTTGGTGAGTCATTGTAAAATTGATCTTTTATCAACAGATCATATTTAAATATATCTTAAATTTCAAAAAATAGGCATGACTGAAGACCAGATAAGTTGTGGGATAGTATTATCATCTAAAGAGCAAAACGTCATTAATATAGACAGAAGAGAAAAAAAAAAGCCAAAATGGATGTCAGAAGACTGAAAACTGCACTAGAGCTTCAAGAAGTCCAAAAGGAAGGGGGTGGGGGGAGGAGAAGTGATGCTGCAGTAAAAGAGATGAACAAGATTTCAAAGGGCAGCTTGAGATGGCAAAGCAATAGACTGTACAGAGTTAGAGAGTAAAAAGGGAAGAGCTCACTCAGCCCTTCTCAAGCTGAGAGAAATGAATTAACAAATTTAAGCCTTGATTTGCAATTCTAAGAGATGCTCTGGGCAAAATCTTGAATGATCCAGGAAGCATCAAAAGAGATGAAAGGAATACATAGTCATTGTACCAAATAAAACTGGCCAATACAGAAATATTTCATGAAATAGCATACAGTAAAAGATCCATACACTCATACAAAAATAATAAAAAATTAAAAAAAAATACACTGACACAAAAATAATAAAAAAATTTAAAAAAAAAAGGTTCAGCTGTAATGAGGGATTATGTTCAAGCTGCATTGAAAAACTGGCAAAAATTAAGCCCCCAGCAACTGACAGAATAACAACTGACATGTTTCAGCTAACAGATGCAGCCATAGATAGGCTCACCAGTCTGTGCTAGCAAGTTTGGAAGACAGCTACCTGGCTGACAAAATGGAAGAGATCTGTATTTGTTCCATTCCCAAGAAAAGTGATCCAACAGGAGATGGACATTATCAAACTGTACCATTAATCACATGCAAACAAAATATTGCTGAAGATCATAAAAAAAAAACGGACACTGACAGGGAATCGCCATTAGGTTCAAGCTGGGTTTAGAAGAGGCCGAGGCACCAGGAATAGCAAAGCTGATGTCAGATGGACTGTGGCTGAAAGAAGAGAACACCAGAAGTTGTCTATTTGTGGTTTATTGACTATGCAAAGGCACTTGACTATGTGGATCATAATAAATTATGGTTACACTTTATTAGGCACATGTAAAACCTATACCTCTACCAAGAAGTTGTTGTTCCAACCAATGGAACACACCATGGTTTGAAATCAGGAAAGGTGTGTATCAGGGCTGTATCCTTTCTCCATACCTATTTAACCTGTATGCTGAGCAGATAATTTGAGAAGCTAGATTCTATGAGGAGGAGTGTGTCATGAGGATCAGAGGAAGGCTCATCAACAACTTCAGATGTGCACAACTCTGTAAATGTGAAGAGGACTTGAAGCACCTGCTGCAAATCAAAAAACAACAGCTTCCAATATGGATTATCTCTCAACATAAAACAGACAAAATTCTCACTACTAGGGAACACATGACAGATGGACAGAAGACTGAAACTGTCAATGATTTCATCTTACTGGATCCACAAAGAACACTCTTGGTACCAGCAGTCAAGAAATCAAAAGACCTATTGCCTTGAGAGTCTGCTGTCAGTTTAAAAACTTAGGTGCACCTGATCCAGGCCATGGTCTTTTCAATCTCTTGCTATGCCTCTGAGAGCTGGGCAATGAATAAGGATGACAGAAGAATTGATGTCTTTGAGTTGTGATGTCAGAGAAGAGTATGGAATATCCAAAAGAACAAACAGATCTGTTTTAGACAAAGGACAGCCAGAGTACTCTTTAGAAACAAAGATGGCAAAGTTTCATCTCACATACTTTGGCCATGATGCTATGAGGGGATATTCTTTGCAAAGGGACATTAATGCTTGGAAAGATGGACGATCAGTGAAAAAGAAGCCCCTTAATGAGACAGACTGACACAGGGACTGAAGCAATGGGCTCAAGTATGTCAAAGAGGTTGAGGATAGTACAGGATAGGGCAGAGTTCAGGTCTGTTATTCATCCGGTTGCTGAGTCAAACTAGAAACTAGACTGTACTTAATAACAAAAGTAAAAAAAAAATAAATAAATAAAAACAGTATCTTCCATTCACGTGTAAGCCACCTAAATTTCCAGGCAAAGTTACTACAAAAGGATTATTTGTTACTGAGTAAATGTTAAAACTGGAAATATTATCTTGAAAAAATTTCAAAAGGTTCACATTGATCATGTCTTGATATTGTAGTTTGATTGTTTCTAAAGAAAATGATTTGAAGACATCCTGGTTACACTAGTGTTTACAGTCAGTATAGGTAACAACTTTAAGATGATGCAACATACCTGAAGAAAAACATGACAGTGCAAGGATCGTATAACTCATACATTTTGTTGAAGTCAGGTACTTCTGTAATATCCACAAGATAAATAACTGCAAAATTTTTAACCTAAAAAACAAAGGAGATAAAAACAAAAAGGCACCACCCCTAAAATATCAAGTCAATCTGGTTTGCCTTCCACAACAGCATACTTAACAAATAATATCAATTTGTATAAAACAAAGTAATTTTCAAACTAGTTTTTCAACCTCGTGGCTCAGGAGTACCAATGTACTTGCCATAGGGAGCACTCTTATGACCCCTGATCGATGGGACCCAGTCCTCTTTGCCCTCAGGACACTTGATGTCTAGCTAAGCTTATTCAGCAGCATAGAGAAGTCACACAGAGAGCACACTACACAGCTATTATTAAGTAATGCTCTATCTAGTGGTGGTATCAAGTTGCAACCGACCCATAGCTAACCATCTAGTGGGCTTTAAGAGGCAAACTGCATGGGAAGAGACTGCCCATCCTTCTCCGTCAGAGCAGCTGGTGAATTTGAACAGCATGCCTTTAAAACTGCAATGCAGTTTTCTTGCCACTAGGCCATATGTTTATAGATGCTGCCTCTAAAAATATTAATTGCATGTATTAAACAAATATTTCCAAAGTATGTCTCTCATAACTTGGGAAAATTCTAATTATTTAGATTTGCTTACTGGTAAGTATTAAGAGGTATTATCTCAAATTAATATTTTTTTTTTATTAACAACAAGGTCTTTAGAATTATGGAAAAATAGAATTATCTTCAATGCCAACAACTGAGGCAACTGCTGTTAGTACTCTAGTATACTCTCCTCACCTTTTATTTTCCAAGTATAAAAATGTGTAGGCTGTATATTAAGTAAGCCTGAGTCATCATACTAAAGTATTTTTCCGTAAATCACATATTTATTCTTCTTCTATCTTCTCATGGATATAAATAACCCAGGCATTTTTATCAAAATCAATTATTCAGCTGTAACTGAAGACTTACTCTTAATTTGTGTATACATTTCATTACTTATCCTAAATAATTTGAGTTCTAGAACAGAATCTCCAAGACAAAGGAGGGGGAACATTTTGGAGGTTCTTTATACATACTGTCTCTAGGCTCACCAGCTAATATGCCTAATTCATCCAATAAAGCAAATTTTAAAAAAACTTGACTGTAATTTACAGCTAAAATAGCATACTGGGATTTGCTTTAAATATCTGATACAAAAATGTTTGGGACAGTGATACCATACAAACTTGACAAAATAGCTTTGACTGTTTACAGGGGCTGATTTAACTCTTTTGGGGTACATGAACAAAAATAATATAGAAATTTAAACCATCACCTTCCCCCGAAAGTTTACAAGTAGTCAGGTCCCAGGGGCTCCTGTGAGAGCATGGATGTGATGGCACAAATCGGCCTTAAGTAGAAGACATCGTTTAAGGCCTTTAGTGCAATGTCTTTAGACATTCAACCTGTATGGGCCTACTTGATTGGATGCATTCCAACTTAACACACTTCTCACACCCTGTTTTCCTGTGGTGCCAGAGTTAAAGTATGGCAGATGAACAAAACAGTATTCTGGTTTTATCTAAAAACAAAAACACCACTAATAAGACCATAAAATGGGCATTAAGTAGTATTGTTGCGTGAAGTCTGACCAAACTCATATTTGACCCTCTGGCTCGTTTTCAGAAGCAGTTAAAAGAACGGGAGGGAAATGTCCATCTTTCTCACACGGAGCAGCTGGTGGATTCAAACTGTGTGCCTTCAGGATTGCAGTGCAGCAGTTTACCACTAGGCAACCAGAGCTCACTTAGTATGAGTTAATAAGCAGTAGTATGAGATGTTAAGTACCAAGAAGTTGGAACTGTCCCATAGCTGACCCTCCAGTGAGTTTTCAGAGGCAATAAATCACACAGGAGATTGCCCATCTTTCTCTCAAGAATCAGCAGGTGGATCCAAACTGTGGGCCTTTGGGTTGGCAGTGCAGTTCCTTACCCCTAAGTCACCAGAGCTCAAATGTGTAAGAGCAGGGATCAAAGCTCAACTTATTTTTGCTCCTTTTATGCCTTGCTCAGTGGCATGGACAGCATAAAAAACAATTATAGTAAATATGGACATCATGCAAATATTTTTTAAAAATCAAATGGAAAAAGGCTATAGATTATACACTTCAGCAAAAAGCTGAAAAGCTGACAAATTTTTATTTTTCCAGTATTGAAAATATATTAAGCAACATGGCAACTTAAGATTTGTGGGCTATAACAATCAAAAAGCAACTCTAACTTAAAGGTGCAAACACCTGTTTCCTTTTGTCTCCCAGGCATCAAACCCCAGTCTGAATCTTAACACAAAAGATTACTATCAGAACCTGAAGATTCTTATTTCCAGGCTGGCTTCATAAACACAGAAAGCCAGCAAGCAAGAGGCACATCTCTTTCATTAAGTCTCTTAGTAAGTCAGGTTACACCCTGAAGTAGAGATGTTAGGTTCTGTCACATGAGTTCTGACACAGTGATGACATCCATGTATACAGCTCAATGCCTCATCTGCACCAGCCTCCAAATTGTTGCTGTGTTTGAACCTATTACTGCAGCCACTGACGGTCATCTCACTGAGGGTCATTCTCTTTTTCATTGACCCTCTGCTTTACCAAGCATGAGATCTTCCTCCAGGGTCTGGTACCTCCGGATAACACTTCTATAATATGTGACATTACATCTCAATGTCACTTCTAAGGAACACTCTGCCTGCACTTCTTTCAAGACAGTTTGGTTTGTTTTTGGGTTATTTTTTTCTGGCAGTCTCTGGGATATTCAATATTTTTTTGGCCAACACAATTCAAAGGCATAAATTCATCTTCAGCCTTCCTTATTCAACTGTCCAGGTTTCACATGTATATAAAGCAAATGAAAATGATAGGGTCAGGTATACCTTATTCTCTTTGCTTTTAAACACGTTTGCAAATTTATTTAGTGCAATATGCTGTTTTCTCATCAATCGGTACAGTGATTTCCTGACTACTGCTTCCATGTGTGTTGATTATGGATCCACATAAAGTTAAATCACTGTTAAATCTTTTCTCTGTTGACCAAGATCTTGCCTATGATCCCACTGTGAGGATTTTTGTTTTATGTTGAGAAGTAATTAATACTAAACGCTGTGGTCACTGATGTTCAGTGATTGCATCCAGTCCTCTTTAACTTTCAGCAAGAATGGCTGTGTCATTGAACTCTTCTTCCGATTCTAATGCCACTAAGTTTTCATATAGTCACATACCATGCAGTTACTTCCTTGTCTAGTTCAAATGTCTCTTGGTCTATGTACAGGTTCCACATGGCACAAATAAGTGTTCTGCAATTTCCATTCTTCACCATGTCATCCATAATTCGTTATGGTATACACAGTGGAATTATTCCTCACAAGGTCACCAAATAGTATTCCATCCAGTGGGGCTCAAAGCTCTGCCACAGCCTGGCTTGAGGAGTTGGCTGAGTGAAGACTAAGTGCACGTCAGGGCCCTGTACCAAGAGCAAGCCTGATGCCTAGCACTGTACTCAATGTCGCTGCTGTTGTCACGTGCTGCTAAACATCATTCCAGTGACCCTCTGAACATCAGACCTGAAGCCTGTTTGTCCTCACCATCTCTACCATTATTAATATTATTACTATTATTATTATTAGATGCTGTTGAGTCAAGTACAACTCATAGCAAATCTACAAACAACACATCTGAACCTACTGTATCCTGTGCCAACTTCACAATCTCTGACACACTGGAGCCTACTGCTACAGTCACTGTGTCAATCCATCCCGTGAGGGTCTTCATCTCCTCTGCTGTCCCACCACCATTCCAAGCATGATTATCCTTCTCTAAAGAATAGCCTCTCCTAGCAACTTGCCCATGTTGAAGTGACTCGATGGCACCTAAATACCACCATCATCACTACCATCTAACATGATGGCTGTTTCCAATCTTGCTATAAGAATGGTAAACTTCTGGAACATAAAACTTGCAAATTTACATTTTCTTTCTCTCTACTGAAGCGATAACTAGCAGTAAAATTTCCAGGGCAAATTATCAATGATCTTGATACAATCCCAAGTGGATTTCTAAAAGGATTCTATCAATTCTACTACTACCTGAACATTAGGTTAAGCCATTAAATTTCTTCTTCTTTCAAGTTCTTATGTCATTTAGATACTCTTAACCTTTCTAACAGGTGTTTTAATTTACACAAGCATATAATACTTAAAATAACATTTTGTCTAGTACACTAAAAGTAATCTTAACTAGTTCCTGAATAATATAGGTTTTTAAAAAAACCCAATTAACATGCCTAAATTTAATTTCACTCTATAATTGCAACCTTTCAGGGTTTTTTTGGTTTGTTTTCTTGTTGCGTACTGTCGAACTGGATCGAAACGGCACTGGAGAAGAATACCCATAATTCAGTGGAGCATCTGGTGGATCTGACTTGCATGCTTTCAGGATTGCAGCCAGCTTCTTTCCACTAGGCCTCCAGAGCTCCCTTTTCATTTGTTTTTATATACATTCCTTTAATCATCTAAATAAACATCTTCAGCAGTCCTGTCACCTACACATTTTGCAAGCATGCTTCCTCTTTCTCCAGATCAGCCCATGATTAAATTCTCCAACATCCCCCTGCATTCCAAGAACCTGCTTCCAAGAAAAAATGAAGTAGCATGCAGAATGCATAACCCCATGCTGGCACCTGGTGCCAAGTGTTATTCTACTCTTTTGCCTGGACACTTCAACTGAAGCTAAGAATCTACCTCAAAATCTTAAAAAAAAAAAAAAGTTCCTCCAGTCAGTTCTACTGTGTATTTTTTTTAGGTAATTTCAAAATCATCATAAAATTGAACGCAGATTTACATTAAGCAGCACCATCTTTGGGGGGTTTTTTGGTGTGTCTTGTCATCAGTAACAAATTACATGCAATGCTCTAGTGCATTAATTTGCTGATGTTTTTCTCAGATGGTTAAAGATTAGATTTATAAAGACACTAATAAAAGACAATTGTGAAAACTACAAAGAGGTCTTCAACTAATATAAAAATCAACTTA